TGAGCAGTTCCCAACTAGAAGGGGTCCAAGATATTTTCCTTTCACAAAGGACACAGATCCGGTATCCAGATAATACAGGATAATCTCTGCATCTCACAACCCTTAGTTTAGTCACAACTACAAAGACTCGGTCTCCCTTTTTTATATAAGTTAGTATTTATAGGTTTTAGGGATTAAGACCTGGATACCTTTTGGTTTGGGGGAACATTTTTCAACCTACCACAACACTAAATCACAGAGCAATCAGAATATTAAGGAAATGGAATAAATACATGATCCCTGATATGCCTTTATATAAGATGACGAGAATATGAGGCAGTGCCACCTACGAAATCCCTCTACCACATACCCATAAATCGACTTCAGTCTAATAGGGCCTCTAGTTCTAACCACTGATTTTCGTAGGGATACAGAAACATATTAAATGACACTAAAAAGATATAATCAGACAAATGCAGTAGTTCTACAAGACAATAGGCCCATTTCTCAATTTCTTTAATAAATGCACCAAAGGGAGGAAACAGTTACATATTAAAAGAAATATAAGAGCATGTTAACCATAAGCACTTTTCCTAGAATCTTGTTTGGATTCTGAACTGCACAAACCAATAATTAAAAAGGATATGTTTAGAACAATCATGAAAAATTGGACACAAATTGATGATGTTGAGGATTGTCGAGGTTTCAGAGCCTTGATAATGATTTTGTGATTACGTTTAAAAAAAATAAAACTAGATATTTGGACTGAAATATGTATAAATGAAATGTTATGTCTAGAATTAGCTTTAATATACCCCAGCAACAAATAAATAAGAACAGACAAACAACAAATAACACTTTTTTAAATGTGATAGATAATAGGGCATCAATAAAATAAGAAGAGTAGATATAGATTATTGAAGATAGGTGACAGATGTGTAGGAGTCTATTAAACTAACCTTTCTATTTTTATGCATGTTTGAACACTTCCAGAATATAAGTTTATATATGTGACAGTGCAGCCTGTCCCCATGAGGTCAGGTTTAACCAACTGTCTTTATGCCTGGCCTTACTCTAGGGAGTTGTCACCTATGCAATAGTAATACCCATTTCATCTCTTAGGACTGTGTTAGGAGTAGCATAGAAACAGATGAAGGTAAAGTATATGTGGAAGTCATTAATGGACTAATATTTTAGGTTGGCTTTTCCAGAAAGGGATCAGCCTGAGTAAGCACTAAAATTGATAAGCACTACATTTTTGATAATTAAAAAGCACTAAAATTTCAGGAAGCATTTGAAGTCTGTTAGCAGACAGCATTCATAGTTCCCAGAGGTTTTGCCCCCTGAGGTAACCCCAGCACAAATGAAAAGACTAGAGTGGATGAAGACAGAAAGCGCAAAATAGATAAAAGGTGGATGCGACTCAAATGTTCATCAAGATGAGTGGAGAAACAAAATGCGGTATAGTCATACAATGAGTATTATTCAGCCATTGCAATTAGTGAAATATTGGCACCTGCTGCAATGTGGGCAAGTCTTGAAGACATGCTAAGTGAAGAAAGTCAGAGTCAAAAAGTCACGTACTGTATGACTCCATTTATCCGAAGTATCTAGAATAGGCAAATCCATAGAGACAGATAGCAGATAGTGGTTGACAAGAACTGAGGGAGTGACTAAGTGATAAGGTGTTTCCTTTTGGTATCATGGAAATGTTTGGGAAGGGAAAGGAGGTGAGGATCACACAAAAGTGAGAATGTGCTTGAAAGTCACTGCATTGCTCTCTTTAAAATGGTTAATTTCATGCCAAATAAATTTTGTCTCAAAAAAAAATGACAGAGGGCAGTGTCCCACTGTACTTCCCAGCCAAGTCACAATGTTCTGGTTATGAAAAGGAGAATTAATCAATCAATGCCTATTCATGGAGCATCTTCCATACACAAGATACTGGGACTGCTGTGGGGGGTTCAGAGAACAGAAGAAAAGCTAGCTGTGACTTCTCACTTCAAGATGCTTACAATCAAGTTGTGTGCTCAAGGGCATTAGATAAAATGTAAACTAAACAACACCAAACATTTAAGCTGTTGTAAAGCATAATGTAACTGAGTAATGGATGAGTGACACGGGCCAGCAGTTCTCAAAATTCTTCAGGTGGAGAGACAGAAAGAATTTGCCATGTTTTTATGGAACACTATGAAATATTTATTTTAATATTGATTCATTTATCATACCTAAGATAAATAAATACCCACTTCATATTAAATAACATATCACCTGGCATTAAATTCCAGAATAGACAGGCATTAACAAGGAGCAGTGGTTTGTGAAAAATTAGACAAAATCAGAATGGAAATCAGTTTACTTATTAATATTGGCATGTTGGTGAAAACTTGGAAAGCTCAATTCTGTTTGACCCTGCTGTGGACACCAGTGTTCTTAAGCACAGCTCGTTAACTTATACAAAAACAAGTTTTTTTTTCTTTTTTTTTTAATTGCATTTTAGGTTTTGGGGCATATGTGAAGAACATGCAAGATAGTTGCAAAAACAAGTTTTTATTGAGTGTTCACTATGTGCGGAGCACAGTGCAGCCTCTGGGTAAGCATGACGAATTAAGGAGTAATGGTCTCTGCCCTCATGCAGCTTGCAGTCGATGGAGGAGATGGAAAATCAATAAGCAAGCAATTATACATTGTAGAAACATGGTGTAAAAAATGTCCAGGATAATATGGTAAGACAGAATAATGGGGGAAAATGTGCAGAAGACATGTCACATGCAGTGTCCGCGAGGCATGGAAAATCTAGATATACTCAGAGTTCTGCAGACATGTTGGAGGTTAGAGGGGAAGAAGAATGGCCAAGGGATAAAGCTAAAGGAGCCAGTTCAGTTGAACATGAAAGGTCAGAGTAAGGAGTTCAGAAGGAAGTCATTAAGGCCAGGTGCAGTGGCTCATGTCTGTAATCCCAGCACTTTGGGAGGTTGAGGTAGGCGGATCACGTGGTCAGATCAAGACCATACTGGCCAACGTGGTGAAACCCTGTCTCTACTAAAAAATATATATATATATATACAAAAATTATCAAGGCACGGTGGCGTGTGTCTGTAGCCCCAGCTACTCGGGAGGCTGAGGCAGAAGAATTGCTTGAACCCAGGAGGCGGAGGCTGCAGTGAACCAAGATTGCACCACTGCACTCCAGCCTGGGTGACAGAGCAAGACTCTGTCTCAAAAAAAAAAGTCAATAAGTGTGAAAATGGCATGATTATGTTTGTTTCTAAAAAGGATAACTCTAGTAACTATATAAATAAAGAAGGACAAGATGAAAGCAGATAGAATATAGGAGAAACCAGGTCTTGGCAAGCTTGGATTCAACCCCTTCTTTCGGTTAAAATCAAGCCCAGAGCAGCCAGCTCTCAGTGGCTCACTCCTGAACCTCATCCTGGCCCTTCTGAGTGTCCCAAGTTGCTCAAGAATCTCACAGGTTCTCAATCTTCTGGAAGAGCTCCATGGCTAGAAGTGATGATATCCAACTTCACACTCGGAATCGTGAAGATACTCCAGTGAACATGAAGGATGTGGTCTGAATATTCCCCTACTTCCCCCTCTTTTGACAGCCTCATCCAAGAAGGAGAGAATCTACAAAGTGTGAAGACAGTGCTTGGGTGTTTGGGTGCCTTGGACTTGCGTTTGAATCTGAGCACTGTGTGATATTCTCCTGTAAAAGATGCCATGTGAGGATTACATGAAATAGCAAGTGCTCAGCATACAATAGGCACTGCACTAGTATTTTTCATTCGTGTTTCAAAGTCTTTGCTTGAACCAAAGCTGAGATACAGACATGACTATGAATATATGGCAAAATGTTGAGTAAAGTCACCTTATGTAAAATACAAAATATCCAGGGAAATTGTTCATTCTAAGGTAAAAATGAGATCAGAACAATGCATTGGACACCGTTAAAAGAAAATAAAAGATTTCATGACTTCAGAAGGAAATGATTTTAAATCACTCAAATCTACTTTATAATCAATCCCATGGACTCTCTCCTTGGTCTTGGGGTGAGGGGAAGCTATAAATAAAACTGGAAGAGTTGTTTGCTAAAAACAGAAAACAAACAAAACCATAGTATTGCATCAATATTTCTCAGGCTAGGATGATTTTCAAAACTTTTATAAACCGAGACAAAGGTATCATCCAATCAGAACAGAACAGCAAATGCCAGCCATGAACAGCCATGACCTGTGAGGAGCTCAATGTCATTATTACTGAAAGATATTATAAAAGGCAGAGAGAAGCTGCTCCACTCCCACCACTTACTTTATTAACAATCACAGGTATCCTCAGCAAAGCAGATGCACACTTCAGTGTGATACCATTTGCAGCCACAGTGGAGATCCGATTGCGTGTCTGTTCGTTGGCTCCATAGTGTACCCCAGTTGCCTGCTGGAGGCCCTCTCTGAGCAGGCTGGGAGAGCCTAGTCTGAGAGACCCACCCTGCAAAGTAATTTGTGTAACTTACTCCAATTGAAGACAAAGATTTGGGGTTTCGGATTAAGGATTTTAAATTTTTTATGTTTTGAAACTGCCAAGAAAGGGTTTTTGGCTTTTCATGAAAAACAAAAAGATTAAATTGATGCATGAAATAGTTGCATTCTCAGATGATGTAATTAATTAGGATGCTTAACTCTGCAATGGTTGTGCTGCTTTTAAAGGTAAATCCCAAGTGAATACTGAATGAAATATTCAACTGTTGTTTTTTTTTTCACTTACAGTTTTAAATCAGGATGCTGGAGAGGGTCACTCAACTATCAATCAAAGACAATTCTGTGGGAAGACAGGCAAATGACCTTATAATCCCAATATAATCTCTTTTCTAACCCAGCATCTTGAGATACCCATACGGGCTGGCACTGAATTTAAGCTCCAATTCACTCAAATCAAAAAGAGCAACTCTCAGTCTGTCATCAGGAAGCTAGCTCTCCAAGGTGTATTTTTATCGCAGCCTCATCTAAGTTATGACAACTCACCTGGTTGGTTTCTGCCATTTGAATAGAGAGAAGCATCAGAGTGACAGGCTGTCACTCTTTGTGTTCCTCTTGAGGTATGACGGAGAAAAGAAACAAACCTGGGGAAACAGATTTCAAAGTGTTTCCAAAATGTCTCTGGATTGGAAAAAGAGATAAAGGGCACTGTTGATGCTTTCTTCTACCTAGAGCTCTTCTGAAGGTGAAACTCCTCTCTCTTTTATAGGCATTTTTAAATTTGTCTGTTTGTTTTACTGCTTTGACCTCATCTCATTTCCCTATGCTTCTGGTTCTTAAAATGTACACTTCTAATCAGTTATACTCCTAGTCAATGTCTCAAACTCTTTACATTACATTGAAGCACCTTCTTCCGGTGGCTGAGCCACCTTACTGACGAGCTAATCTTTCTGCAGACCCATATCATTAGGACACATTGATTTCCCACACTGAGAAATGGTAACATCTAGTGCCTGCTTACTTTGCATAAAACTATACAAACAAATAATATATATTAATATAAATATTAATATAGATACATAAAAGTATATAATTATAAATTTTACAGTTGTAAGGGACCTTCTAATCTACTGTGTTAGTTGATTATCTAATCTAGCTATCCTCCAAATGAAGTATAATTTTGCTGCCACTGCTCAGTTTATATTTATTATAATTTCATATATTTCATTTTTTTCTACTTTATTTTCTGCTTTCTTATTATATTCTATTATTCTTTTTTCTTTTCTTTTTTTTTTTTTGAGACGGAGTTTCGCTCTTGTTACCCAGGCTGGAGTGCAATGGCGTGATCTCGGCTCACTGCAACCTCCGCCTCCTGAGTTCAGGCAATTCTCCTGCCTCAGCCTCCAGAGTAGCTGGGATTACAGGCATGCACCACCATGCCCAGCTAATTTTTTGTATTTTTAGTAGAGACGGGGTTTTCAACATGTTGACCAGGATGGTCTTGATCTCTTGACCTCGTGATCCACCCGCCTCAGCCTCCCAAAGTGCTGGGATTACAGGTTTGAGCCGCTGAGCCTGGCCTCTTTTTTCTTTTCTAACTTATTTTGTCATAAATGAGTTTTCTTTATTATCATGTTTTCCTCTACTGGTTTTGAAGAGATACATTCTATTTCTATTATTTTAGTTGTTATTTCTAAATTTTTAACTATCTCCTGACCTAACAAGGTCAAAGTTTAACTAATCTTTTTATTGTGCTCTAATGTGACAAGTAGCTTAGATACTTTAATGCTGACCATCCCCTCCCTCTGATATGCTATTTGGTCCAACATTTTAATGTCATCTTTTTGTATATTACCAAATTATTTATTGAATTATTATCATTGTTGTTTTATATAATTATTGATTGTTTATATAAACCTACATATTTACTGGTTTTTTTTCTCATGAGCTTGCATCCCATTCTTTCCTTTGAAGTTTAAATCTCTATGCCTTGCTTCCCATTCTTTCTCTTGAAGTTTAAATTCCTGCTTCTTAACTGTTATCCTAGGGTGAATATTAGCTAAAAATGAGTTCTCAACCCAGAATTATAAAACATAGGAAGACATCATCCATGATGAGTGACAATTTTCAGATGCAAAAAATAAACAAAAGGATTAGAACCCAAAGAGCTTCAGGTTATTGATTATTAGAGGGATACTATAAAATAATATGTTGAAAATGACTAAAGAAAAAATTTAACGTCAGAAAAGAATAAAGCATATTATAATTGCACATAAATATACCTTATTTTGTGCTCCCAAGATGGCTTTAATAGTGGTAAGCACTCAGCCTTTATCTGCTAAATCTCTTTATTTTACTTTCACTTATGAATGATAGTGTGGTTGGGTATAAAAATATGGATTGATAGTTGTTTACTCTACCCTTTGAAGATACTATTCTGTTGCCTTCTGAGTTTTTCTGTCATTACTGTGAAAGTCATGATTAGTGTGATTGTTCTGTTATAGGTTGTTTTTTCTTTCTCTCTTGTTACTTTTAAGATTTTAGTTGGTCTCTAGTATTTCCATGAGATGTATCTATGTGTTGCCTTATCTCACTTGGGCCTCCAAAACCTGAGGTTTCATGTCTTTCATCAAATCTGGAGGATTCCGCCAGGTGCAGTGGCTCACACCTGTAATCCCATTACTTCAGGAGGCTGAGGCTGGTGGATAACTTGAGGTCAGGAGTTTGAGACCAGCTTGGTCAACATGATGAAACCCTGTACTAAAAATACAAAAATTAGCCAGTCATGGTGGTGGGCATCAGTAATCCCAGCTACTCCAGAGGTTGAGACAGGAGAATCTCTTGAGCCTGGGAGGCAGAGGTTGCAGTGAGTTGAGATTGTACCACTGCACTCTAGCCTGGGCAACAGAGCGAGACTCTGTCCACCTCTGGCCCCTCCCCGCTTCCCCACCAAAAAAAAAAAAAATCTGGAGAATTCTAGGTCTCATCTCTTCACATATTTCCTCTCTTCTATTCTCTTCTTTCTTTCAGGCACTCTTATTATAACACTGTTTCTCCCCTCAATGTGTATTAACCACTTTTAAATATTTAATTGCTCTCTGCTATCTTTTAGGAAAACCTTTATTCGACTATTTGAATGTTGACTATCTGGTTAAACTATCCATTGTGCTCTTCTCTTCCATGTTTATATTTTTAAATTTAAGAAATTCAGTTGTTATTTTCAAAGAGTCCTATTTCTTTACTCATATGTCTTATTCTTCTCTGCCATTAATTTTTTTCTTTAATAATTTTTAACATATTACTTTATAATACCCTTCTAATAATGTATTACTTGAAGATCTTTAGGTTATAATCCTTTTGTTTATTTTTTGAATCTGGTAACTGTCACTCATCATGGACTATATCTTCCTATGTTGCATAATCCTGGATTGGGCACTCATTTCAGCTCATCCCCACCTCAGGGTAACAGCAGTGTCAAGCTCACTTGTTTAGTACTTCACTTGTTTAGTACTTTAAGTAAGGTTTCTCTTACTCTCCTTATTTTAAGGATTCAGCTGTGTATTTAACATGTTTATAAATACTTTGCTCGCCTTCCCTAGGTGAACTTGTTCAAATTATCCAATCCAAATTATTCCCAGAAGCACACATCACATCAAGAATTAGAATGACAAGAACAAGAAGATATGACTACAATGAAATAAAATACATAGAAAGAAAGTGTAAGAAAAAGACAGGAAGGAAGAGAGGAAAATAGGAATACAGGAGGAAGAAAAAGAGGAAGGGAGATAAGGAGGGAGGAAGAGAGGGAGAGAAGAAGACGCTGTTGCTCCTTCCTGGATCTCTTTTCCTGGGCTTACTTCATCCTTCAGGCCTCCACTGAAACAGTACCTCCTCCAGAAAACCAATTAGTTATTCTTACTATTCCCATGATTCATTGCTTCTCCTATGATAACTCTTACCATGCTTTATTATAATTATTTGTTGCCTATCTTTCTTTCCAGGTAAAATTAAGAGGATGAGAGCAGGATGATCCCTTCATTTGTTAACAAATATTTATTAAGCCCTATGGTTAGAGCAATACATAAAATAGACAAATCCACTGCTCTCCCAAAGCTTACATTCTGGAGAAGGAAAACAGAAAATGAACAAATATACAGTGGGAATAATACACATAAGTGATGATAAAAGCTATAGAGAAAAATGAAGTGGTGAAAGGATGGAGAATTATGTAAGGGAGAGGGCCTAAATGAGATAAGGTGGGCCAGAAAGACCTCTCAGTTCTGATGACTTGATTGGAAATCTGAGTGGGGTAAGTGAGCAAGCCTTGGTTGTATCTTAGGAGAAGGACTCCGACACTATCCGTGAAGCTTGCATTGGGTTTGGGAAGGAGGGAATGAGAGAAGAGAAAGGGCAGTGGGCTCAGAGACAAGGCCAGGAGACATAACACAGGACTTTCCTTTGAACATTATCTTGAAATAAAATACAGAAAAATATGACCTGTCCAGTGTTCATTTTGAAATCAAAGTCTTGTTTATTTGGCCAATTACAGAAAATGGATTTGGATTTCAGACCAAATATAATTACTGAGGTAAATTTATGGATGGCCTATTTGATGGTCAGTCATGAAACTGGTATTGACCAATTCCAAATCCTAGCAGAAGCTGAAAAATGTGTCCAACATTTGTGTCTAAAATGCCTCTGGAAGGACTCTGGGATATTATCATGAGTGACGCTTGATGCCACTGAAATGTTTTGAGTAATCTTGTTTACATTTCAAAAGACTACCTCTGCCACTGTACTCCAGCCTGGACAACAGAGCAAGACTCCATCTCAAAAGAAAAAGAGAAAAAGACCATCTCTGGTTGCACTGTCGTTATAAGATTGGAAGCAGAGTGGCAATGTAACAAGCTCATGCAGTTGTTTGGGCAGATAAAAGACTGCAGACTGGAATAGCAACTGCAGAAGTGGTGAGGAGAAGAAGTTGGATCCTGGATTTACTTTGAGGGTAGAGTTGAATGGATCTGCAGTCTGTGTCAGTCTATTTCATAACTTATATAACCAAATCCTGCATAGAGGGTCTCGCTTTGTATTTGTGGAATAAATGAATAAGTGAATGAATGAATGCATGATTTATAGCCCCCCTTCTTGATGATGTCATTTCCGCTTGTGAAATGAAAATTATGAAAACAATGCAGGTTTTGCTGCTACAGCTAAAGTCGGTCTAACACAAATCATAACAACCACATTTTGTAAGCAACAGATCCAGGATGTGTACTAGGTCTTATACCTGTCCCAAAGCTTTTATCTTAGACATAAATGTTGGACACATTTTCCAACTTCTGATACGATTTGGAATTGCTCTATATCAGTTTCATGACTGACCCTCACATAGGCCATCCATAAATTTACCTCAGTCATACATTTGGTCTGAAATCCAAATCCATTTTCAAGAAAAATGTAATTGGCCAACTAAACAAGACTTCGATTTCAAAACAAGCACTGGAGAGGTCATATTTTTCTGTCAATTTGTTTCCATACAATGTTCAAAGGAGGTGATAGATAAAATTCACTACTCAGTGAAAGATACCAAGACACATCTTATGTGTTTGTTTACTTCTTGAAACTATATGGTGACTATTGAAATGTTACTGTGGGCATATCTACCATCACTTTTAACAGATTTCAATGAAATTTAAAAGCGACAGAGATAAATGTCTTAAATGAATCTGTAAATTCATTGATAATTTTCTAATCAATCCTACTTTTATTAGATTGCCTTTTGAAAATTTAATTAAAATTATAATTAATTCTATTTATGAACTGCAATAATGTCTTCTAATTACATGATTATACCAAGTGAAATCTACTGTTCATAGAAGCAGTGGTTAAAATGTCTAAATTACCACATATATATTTTACATTATCAAGTATATATTTTCTAGGTTATATGTGCTATGGAGAAAAGGTAATTACCAAGTATATATGATCTTTTCTTTATAGTATATACAACCTGGAAAATTGCCTTGCGATTAGTACTCTTATGCTTCCTATCATGCATTAACAGAATCTAGAGCACTGATACTGTAACAAGTGTACAAGTATATAAACTGTGCCAAGGGAAATTGGTGCCAAACATGTCCAGCTTTCATGGTGGCAACTTCACAGGAGAAACAAGGTAGTTAAACAATGTCTATTGCAAGGAAATCTTCACAAGTCACATCTTGGATTGGAAAGAACTTGAAAGATGGTCTCTTTCCAGCTCTGCATCCCTCTTAGAGTTTATTTGATTTGGAATTTCAGTCCCTTTGCGGCTCTAATCTTGATAACATATTTCAATTCCAGCAGTCTGCCAGGCTCTTCATTGGAGTGATTCTACAGAAGGGTAAGCAGGCATCCTGCCCTTGGCGATCCCAGAATCTACCAGAGCCTCTGCAAGTTTTCCACAGGTTGCCTGACTTTGGAAGTTTGCTTCTCCCCAGAAATCAAACAGGAGCTCTAAGACTCTCTCACTTAAAAAAACCAAAAGCACATTGAGGATAGGGTCCAGGTTTTGTGCTGCACTCACTCTAGGTTGAAGAGATAAAGAGGCTGATGAGACCATCTCTAGCATACGTTTATGAAACTGTTCTTCCAGAATAATGCCACGTGAAAGCAAATCAGTCTTCCCTTCAGTCCTTGAGAGAAACGGAGTGGCCTCTGCCAGTGTACACTTTCTTCTCTATGTAAAACATTTTACTTTGTTACCACAAGTACAGCCTGGTTCTGAAGCTTGTCTTCTTTCTCCCCTCCCTCCATTCACTCATCATGTCAGTGATGCTGCCCATGATTTCACAGTGGTTAATTTTCTACCAAGAGAGAGGATGCCCTAAGCCAATCTTTCATTAGTGACAGTAATCACTACATCCGTCTTTTATTAATGACAATAATAGCTAACATTTATTCCATGTTAATCATAACATAATATTATGTCATTGAATTTCACGGTACCCCATGAGGTAGGTGGCATTGATATGCCTTCTCTATAGATGATGGAGTAGAGATTCAGACAAGTTAAGAGACTTGCTTATGGTCCTATTGCCAGTCAGCCCTGGAGCCAGAATTCAAGTCAGGTGTCTGATTCCTAAACCAAGCATTTGACCCCTAATGAAATTGCTTTGGTTGTAGCAAGAGGATGGGAATGGCTGGAATGGGACTACAACCACCTGGCCTCACACCTGGCCCAAGTTCTTGGAATTCCAAGACACCCCTCAAAGCACAGGCTTATGTCAACAAGAGTTTTCTAGAGGAGCTGAGGTTATCTGGGAATCTGGCTGCCAGTGTTCGTGCTCTGATCTGCTGCACCATACAACAACATAGACCTGACTTTCTTGCCAGCAGCCAGGCGCACAGGGCAGCCAAGACTAACAAGTGTAGGCACTGTGCAGGGTACAGGGCGCATGAATAGCACTATTCTTTGCTGGCCAACACTGGGCCCATTGTTTCAGGCAATGAATAGAGCTGTGTGGGAAAAAAATTCACACACGAAGCAAAAGCAGCAAAATTTGTCTCTTTGTGATGGTTTCAAGACTGGGTGAAAAAGTCGTTCTTCACCTGGTGCTATTTTACATACTCTTTCACGAACAGAAAGCACTTTCTGGCGAGGGAAGAGCCTTTCTCTCAAAATTAAAAAGTTATAGGTCACAGTGCAGGTGGGAGAATTGGGAGTAGACCTCGAATTTAATGGCACTCATTCATTACAACATTGGGGAGATGGAAATGATGAGGTATCATTTTGATTTAGTGGAATTAAGCTCTATTCCAAACAAGCATCTTCATCTATTTAAGACGCACAGTTTTGCCTGTTTTTTTCCCAGATAACAGAGGGAAAGTTAAGTACATAGTGTTAACTACAGTACACATTAAAGCTCCTATTCAAGGCAAATAACTGCCAAACCTTCTACTTCTTTTTGATAGGGCTAGACTCGATTAGTCTAGATCCATTTCTGGGGTTGCATTGCTGGATGCTGTAACTTACCACCAGGCAGTCTATCCCTATCTTTGTCCTGGCTGTAACATTAGACGAAGTCAGAATCTCACAAAACCATTACATTCATTTAACTTCTGCATATGAAAAATGCATTCCTCTCTTAAGAGCAGGCATTAACACATAGTTCTGATACAAGCCCATATCCCACACACATAATCTCCTTTTCATTCTTACACCACCCGTAAAGCCACCATTGGTGGTAGATATTCTGTGGTACAAATCATCTTGAATTGTTTACTGAATTGCTTTGTGTATCTTGGTATAATCTAAGAATTCAGTTTCTTCAAAACAGGTCTCTTTATTTTTGTATTTAAATACAGAAACTTCCAGAGGCAGATGAATACAGTGGAAAGAGCATCCATGGGCTTTAGATGCAATCCGATTTAAATTCTGGACTAAACAGTAGCTCTGTAGGGTGACTCCATGTGCTATGTTGTCCTGAAAAGACCCTGATATACCTGTTATCCTGTAACTGTTAATATCACCCTCTTTCACTTTACAAGGTACAGTTTAAATGGTAGATGATAAGGTCATCCTATAGTGATGTCACCTTGGGCAAGCAACTTAACTTCTGGCAGCCTTGCTCTCTTCATATTAATTCAGGACAAAACTGTCTATCTGTTAGGATTAGTATTAATGTTCAAGAGAATATGTGAATTCTCCACATATTATCTGAAGCATAGCAGGGACTCAATAAAGAGTGGCTATTATTAATATTTCCTCTGGAGACACTGCCTTAGAACCGTGTTTCCAAGTGTCTTCATCCATTTTGTGCTGTTATAACAGAATAACACAGGCTGAGTAATTCATAATGAATGGGAATTTATTGGCTCACCGCTCTGGAGGATAAGAAGTTCAATACCAAAGTGCTGGCATCTGGCAAGGGCCTTCTTGCTTCATGAAAGAAGGTCAAAGACAGAGTGAGAGAGAGGCAAAAGGGGGCTGAACTCATCCTTTTGTAAGGAAACTGCTCCTGCAATAACAAACACACTTCCACAATAATTGCCTTAATCTATTAATGAGGGAAGAGCCCTCATGGCCTAATCACTTCTTAAAGATCCCTCCTCTTAATACTGTAACAATGGCAATTAAATTTTAACACGTGTTTGGGAGAGGACAAACATTCAAACCATTGCACCAACTGTTTAAGAAATCATGGACTATTGAAATAAGAAATAAAATAAATCAAAGAAATGATATTAATGTCACCAGGTTTTACCTTACCTAGTAAAGTCATTAGAGAAAAAGAATGCCACTGATTACAAACATGTTTTCATGAAAGAAAGGTTTGTTAAAAGCTGAAAATGTAGAAAACAAACTCTTAGACTAAAAGACAACTCACTTAACTGAAAGTATTTTTTAAAAACAGATTATTATCTTTTGAAGAAGATCAGAATATCTCACCCTCAAATATGCCACTTTGGCATAAGGATTATTTTCAGCTGAAGCCAATTAAGAATCAACAAATTCAGGAAGAGTTTACTGCCCTCTCCTTTTCTGCCTAAAAAGCAGTACATATATTTCCCTTTGAGAAAGATTTTCTCTTACCCAACAGAGAGAATAGCGGCTCTTAACATCAAAGACCAGAGTCAACATTAGGGTGAGTTTACATAAACAGACCTTACTAAAATATTACCTTCCATTAGTTCCTCCCTGTGTTTCCTGGTCACTCCTCCACAGCTTAATGTCACTTGAGGCTCACACCTCTTCCCTTTGTTAAGATGGTATAAGCCCCTGGATCTAACCACTTCTTTACATTTTATTTTTGTGAACTCTCATACATGTAAATATTAATACAAATTCTGTTCCTTTTCTCCTATTAACTTGTCTTTTGTTAAATTTAATTCACAGGCCTCCCGGCACTGAACTTAAGAAAGTAGAGAAAAAATTTTTCCTTCTCTATACGTTTCTTTCTTTTAGCAGCAGGCCAGTGAGTGCTCATAGACAAGCAGTGGTCCAAAGTCGGATACTGGAGAATCACTGCTCTAGAGTCACATAATCCAATCTGTTCTTTTCTGTCTGCATCCTTCCTGACCCTGTCCTCCTCTTCTTCCTGCCATTCTATCCTATCCTTCTCAAACATTATTTTTATTTTTATCATTTGGCAACTTCGTGATATTAAGCATTCTTCAAGTGCAGTGCTCAGGAGACTATGGGTACTTTAAAAATATGTAGCTGATTTTTAACTTCATATCTTCACAGAAAAATATTTTAATTTTAGCGTCTTAGTTAAACCTGCTTGTTACTCTAATTTACCCATGTATTTTTCTGCAGTTTTTACACACTATTGGAGATCCAGTCAATACAGAAAAAAATGTAGATGATTCAATAAAAAAATAGAAAGAAGTTTTGCTTTATGTCTATTAAGAGAGTAGCTACATACTTCATGTATTCATTTTCAGCAGTTTTGGCAAAGAATTGGCTCAATTTGACTTCTGCTCTGCATATAAGTCACAGGCAAAAACTCTCTTTCAACTCTTTTTTGTTCCTGTAGGTTTTGAAAATATTCACCTTTGATTCAAAAGTTGGGAAGAACTGATCCACATAGGAGATTTTAAGGGAAGCTCTCCAGAAGACCTCCTCACCTCCATTCCATTTTCCCTCTGAATGCCATTTAATACCTACAAAGAACTTCCTAGCATTTAACCTAACAATGCTTTTAAAGATTTAGTATTACCCTCTTTTCCCTCAAATGATATTTGCATAAGCCATAATTAAGTTTTTGGAGTCTCATTTTTAAAAAAAGCTATTGAAAGCAATAAAGCAGTGAAGCAAACATTGTAAGTTGGAGTAGCTAATCACACAAAAATGATAATAGCTTCCAAAATGTAAAGTCAAAATTTACTTACATTTCCTGAATATTATGACTACTAATATTTTAAGATCTATTTATACCAAGATGTATCATTGCTTTCTAATTTGCTGTTTTATTCAGGATGATCTCTAACAGTGAAAATCTTGTAACCCAATGTCATAATCAAGCCGTTGAACTTCTAAAATGAAGCCAGGTTCTTTTAAAGCACCTCATTTTTAAACATCAGGAGATGAAAAAGCATTTATTCTAAGATGCAAATTTTTAATTATTTAAGAAAGTAGAAGCTTCTTTGGACCTAAAATACCAAAAAGAAATGTCCTTTAACAAATATGAATTTTTAAACTTTTTTTTAATCTTAGAAGTACAAAAACCTAATGGACAATGAAGGCTGGTGCAAACAAATGTGATTTTTTTTTTAAAGATGCAAACTTATCATTCTTACTTTAACTCTGCCATCAATGTTCTCTTTAATGCACAGCAGTACATTGCATTGTGTTACCATTTTGTATTTTGCGCTATTAAAGTCCTCAGCAACTTCATAAATTCTTTAAGGAGTGAAAGGGTGTAATTTGAGCTGTCCCAGAAACAGAACTCCCAGTTTTCCATCACATAATTCATATACATGAGGTTAATAAGCAAATGGCAAGGAACGTTGTACATTTCGGCAACATTCACCTCAATCAATCCTCTGTGATTGGAATGTTTTTTTGCAGGGTTTACCAAAGTTCACTGGATAATTGAAATAAGAGGGGACAGGAGGTATAACTAGGATACATGTGAAGTATGTAAAAGCAAAGGAAAACCAGGGAGTTGAGACAGGATGGTTGTCATTCCTCAGAATTGGTCTCCTTAAAGTCCTCCTCAAACAATATTTTCTCAGAACTTTGGATAAGAATTGCATTGGTAGCTTCTTTTTGAAGGTAATGGTTATTTTCAACATTTTATACAACTGAATGATAAAATGGCAAGAACTTTAAATTAAACCTTAGCATGCTACGAAACTAAGCATTGTGTGAGGAGCTAGCTTGGGAACAGCCTGGCAGACATTTTTTTTCTTGCTTTTTTTTTTTTTTAATTTTATTGATTTAACAAATGTTTGTTTTCATTTTGTTTTTGACAATGGACTTAATGAACTCTTTTACCTAGTTAAGATTTATGAAAAGTGTTTCTACCCCCACTTACCTTATTTATAGAATTTGTAATTTGCATAATGGTAAGACAGGGGTATTTTCAGTCCTCCCTTTCAAGCACTTCCATTCTAATTTTCATGGTAATAGTAAGTGCACTTACCAACAATAGTTCATTGATCCAGCATGTCTCCTACCTGCCCTGGAGCAACTGGACAATTGTTAACTATAGAAGCCACAAAACAGATAAGGAATGGACCATTTGTGCAAAAGTGCTGCCTCTAATGGTTTCAATAATAATTAATATGCAGGATAGCTAGTCCTGTCACACACCATTTCAGACTAGAATTGCATCTGTCAGTCCAAATCCTGACTCCATTCGAGGCATCCAGCACCGAATCTAGTTAGACAGCTAACTGAATTAAAACAAAAATCTACAGATGCATGATAAATGCACAGGATGCTATGTCACACATGAATGACTCCTGCGCAGGCCAAATGACAGATGTATTTCCGCGACTCCAGGCCAGGCTCCAGCACAAACCACTCTTCATTTATCAATAATTGGGCCTTAATTTCATTTGGCAGTGGTGGAGCAGCATGCTCAGCTTCCTCTCCAATAGACGAACACTAATTAGACTTTTTGGGGGGGATGGGCACCAATCTTTTGATTTTATTTCAAATAGTCAACCATCAGCAAAGTTAGAACTTGTCCTTTGGGGGGGGTGTTTCCCTCACAGCTCATTATTAGTCCTAATATCTTGCAATGGGAACTCTTCAAGTATTAATGCTCCATTTCAAATGAGATGAGAAACATAGGAGATGCCATGTGGAAAAAGAAAGATGGGGAAGAATTGTGGTTTCACACTCATAAAGTACTTGCTAACTGTTCTTACTTGTTGGAGAGTTTTGCTGTGCTCTTTAGGTCAATGTTTGTGTTTGAGGGAGAAAGAGAGAGAGAGAGAGGAAGACAGAAAGATTCACAGACATAGACAGATGGAGTGGCAATGTAAACAGGAAAATTGCAGAACAATTTTAAAATTTTTAATTTTAAAAGGAGAAAACTGTTAGGATTGTTTTCTTGGGTTGTCATATTAATTTCAGACTAATCGTTATGTGGTTGCTTTTACCTTAGATGAATCATTGTCATAATCAATAAAATGTCTGATCAATTACTAAAATGGTTAGTGTTCCCCCTACCATCCAAGTAGAAAAGGCCTCCCACAAGAATTCCAATCATGGGTACAACAACAAAAAAAAAACCACAAAGTCTACTGTGGATCACATAAACCAGCCCCAGATTTACCAGAAGTACATGAAAATTTCCACATATTGGCCACTTTCCTCCTTAAATCTACATTATGGGGATTAACATTCCCTCCCTTAATGCCTACAGAGACCAAGTGTTCATTTGTTCCTTTATTTAAGCAAGAGAAAAATTGGCATGGCAGATTGTGTACCGCAGCTTTACTCCTGGGTAGACCTTTCTCCACTTAAGGCGTTGTGGCTAGCTGCTCATTTGGGCTTAGAACTAGCTGTGCTTTTCAGGTTCTCTTGAGCTTCTTGCCTCTCCTTCCAAATCCTGTTCCAGAATGAGTGACAAAGGGGTGCCCTGCTTCTCCTTCAAATTCCAAGCACAAACTTACTGTCAGCAGGGCACCCTATTGATCCACTCTTGGGATTTTGCTCTTCTCTGCCACTCAGACACTCTTCAATGTCACATTTATTATTTTTCATTGGCATAGGTGAAGGCGGTGATGTTGTCCTGAGGACTGATTGCTATGCCCAGATGATCTGTTGAAGTTGGCTGCCTGATCTAACATACAGCATAATTGAGGAGGACTAGGAACAGAATCCGTTCCCGTTTCACCCCAGTAACTATGCCAAATTCAACAGAGAGCTCTCCATATGGTCAAACACAAGTGAGGTAATGTGTATATTATGCCATAATAAATGAAGTCTCATAGGTTTCAATGGCTCATAGTAGCTATCAGGAATCTTTCCTAGCAACTCATGGGAAACTGAGCAGCATGCCATAAATGGGAAAGCCATAAATAATTTTGCAACTCAGCCACCAGGGCTGTGGT